TGGCGAGACGGAACAATGGATTACTGTACCGACACCAAGAGAAACAGAGAGCTAATTCCAATATTTATATCTCTGACATATCTGTGGCTCGTATTTATCCTCCTTTTTCTCCCCTTTTAATGGACACTAAAAGATTAAAGAACATTTTAAAAGAGCAATTTCCTGCTTGCCCAACAGATGCAGATGCAGAGCCGGTTCCCAGCGCTCAGCAGGACGCGCGCTTACAGCTGAGGTAATGGCCTTGAACTCCGAGACTTTGCAGCCAGGACCAGAGCCACACAGTCAATTGCTCAGGTTATTGAGCCATTGCTGCAACTTAACTAGGGGGAAGGAGGTGGAACCGAGCTCCATTCAAAGGGGAGGAAAAGGAGCCGGTCGTAAATTTCGGAATACAGAAACGTAAAGTTTGCGTGATTTTGCATGGCTTGATTTTACATGACTTTCGTCTGATCTTACAGATGAGAAAGAGTGGCTGAAAATATTCGCTAAGGAGATCAAGACAAAAAAAAAGAGGAGCTTAACAAAAGCTAAAAGAGAAGAAGAGGAAGTGGGTGAAGTGGGATATGGGAAGAAAAAAGAAAAGCTCCGGGATTTACATAAGTAGAACTTAAGCTATTTACATAAGGGGATAGCTTAAGATTTAGGGAGACAAGTCATTTTTTATAATAACAGTGTGTAGATATAGTACACAAATCCAAAGGTTAGGGGGGTGTTCAAAGCCCTGCCGCTTCAGGCAGCCCACCCTTTGTCATCAAAGATAAGGAGAGCGTTCAGAAAGGATGGCTCTGTGGTCCAGAGCCCGCAGCAGTCTGTCTCTCTCTGTGTAAGCCCAGCGTTTAAAAACTGACATCTGAATAAAAGCTTCTGAGAGGGACTGCAAATGATGTGCAAAAGTCCATTTTTCAGTCAATTTATTTTACTCATTTTGAAGGTCAGGTTAAATTTCACCTATTTGGTCCATTTAAGATAAACAGCACACATTTTTTTTTATCAAACACATGGCAAAAAATCAGAAGCAATGATATATGATTTTGACACTTCAGCAAACAGTGAATAATATTTTGTTAGAAACACGCTTGCCCTGCGTATGTTTGTATTAAAAAAATGTAATTCTGACATGCATTTTGACTGAAAACTAAATGTTTTTGCTGAAAAATGTCAGAGAGGTGTGCAAATGTCAAGCTGAAATTCAGATTCGGTGCCTGATTTTCACATTGTGTTGTTAGTTTAATATGTGCACCCTATTTTAGCATGTTTTCCAAAGCCTTCCAGACCTTTGTCTCTCCTTAAAAGCCAACAAAAATGCTATCGTGGAGCTAAGATTTATTTCCCTCTCTTTGAGATGCAGCTGCTGTGCTCATGTCTTTATGGGGGTGGATATTTGTTACCAGCCCAAAATGCAAAAACACAGGTCATTTGTCAAAACATGGTTATTGTTTTCCCTCCAGAATCCACATCTCCTCAGTTACCACAACGCTATTTTTGGCGGCAGTTTGAACGCAGACCGTCTCAGAAAGTCACGTTTCTGCAGCTTTTCGCTGAGATTCTTTACTTTTCCATGCGGCTAATTATGGTGGTGGCTCTGCTCTGTGTCAGTGAAGAACAGACCAGCGTTTAGTCAGGATGAGTGGTGATTGGTAGATGCCTAAGCAAAAGACCTGGTCAGGGAGAATGTTCTAAAAGTCAAATATGATGAAGCAGCCTATCGCTTTAAAAACAGAAGAGAGGGCTGAATGGATCATAAAATGGCATTGGCCTGCAGACAGCAGCACACAGCGTACAATACAAGTGCACTGCGATGACAGATGGTCTGTGAAAAAGCTGGGACCAGCGCCGTACCAGGCTGGGAAGTGGTGATTTCCTGGGGTATTTGGATCGTGTCTGCAGTATCATCAAAGGCTGAGGTTTTGAGCAATTTCACAAAAGTGAACCAGTCCGAAAGATTCAAAATTAGACATGTAGACCCAGAGCTTTCCTCAGTCAAAGGGGAGTTCACAGAATAGTTTGCAGTCACATTTTTAAGCAGTGAAGCAACGTTAAAGCTCAAATTTATAGATACTAAAAATAAAAAGCTGGTATTTTGTCTGACTACATGGGGATACTCAGAGTGAGGGGCTCACACAAGTGTATGTTAAATGTGTAAATGCTGACACCTAGTGGAGAAACCCGGCTATTACAAACTGACGTGTCTTATGAGTTGTTATTCAATTCACATGGCGCCACTCACAAAAGATTTCATGTCTGGGCACTTAAGTTCCGTCCAATTTAAGCCAATTTAACAAATTCATTTTAATTCAATTAAAATCCAATCAATTCACATTCATTCTGTTTGAAATACATCCACTTCATACAGAGCCATTTAAACAATTTCCCAGCTATCGGAAATATGACATTGTTAAGAGAGTAATCATGTCAGAAAATATCAGAGAAGTCATAGTGTCCATGTAGAAAGTTATTGGTACGGCTCAAAATCCTGTAATGTTAATTAGACCAGTTTCACTTGACTTCATTGTGACCGCAATGACATGATAATGATAACAAACAGGGCATTAAAACCGTCCTCAGACCCAAAAAGAGTAAAAGAACTATAGACATGAGGCAGGTCTTTAACAGCCTAAATTGCCACCAACATATGCAAAAAAGAAAAATAGGATCTATACTGTATTTAGGTTAATTTATCTATTCAATATTAAATCTACATTTCTGTGAGGAGTTTTCCCATGTGTATGCATGGGTTCTTTCCAGATGCTTCACAGCGATAAACATGCATGTTAGGTTAACATTTACAAGTTCAAATTCCTGTGCACTGGTGCCCTTTCACTGTAAACATCATTAATAAACATCTGAGTGCTTTTGGAGGTCACAGACGCCTGTGCAGCCACGCTGCCTCCATTTGTTTGAATAGAGATAGAGAACTTTCTTTTTCCATCTTTATCAGATCCATTCTGACTTCATCTGACCTGAGTCAAAAACATTTTGAAGCTTTCCTTTTCATAGAGTTCCTGACTGATTTTCACCTTGTGGCAAAATCTCTGCATTCTTTCTGGCTGACTCCCAGCTCAGAGGGAGAATGGAGGATCACAGCTCCCCCTGCTGACTGTTTTAAGGAGGCGCAACTCGACCAGCCTTTGGATCAGCCTTTGATCATTTTACATCCCTGAGCTTCCAAATCTTTTATAATCTGAAGTTCACCAATATTTTACTTTACTAAATGGTGACATAATTACTCCTAATGAACCTGCTCGTCGAAGAATCTGGGAATTTGTTTCTTTTCCATTTAAGGATTCTTTGACCACATGTGGCTCCCCGCTAATAACACTAATGTTCCGCATCCAGATTCCTTCTTTATATTATTATAAACATCTTTAGATATTTTGATTTGGCTATACCACAATATAGATCTTTAAACAATGTAGGAATAAATACAATGCAGACACCTTTTTTTTAAACTACTGAAGGGTTAATCAAATTCATGTTTATTATTCTACAGATTATTCAGATGAATTCTCTCTTTTAATGTTTATGCCTTTCCAAGTTGCACTTGAGCTTTTTCCATATACATTTTAGAAGACATTTAGAAAAGAATGTGTATAAGCAGCACTGAATTAAAAAAAGAATGTTCACAAGCATTTCCTGGACTTCTGAGCCCATTTCTGTTAGTTTTCAACATCCAGCTTGTTTTTTGGGAAGAATATAAGTGGGATTTTACTGTACCTATAAAGAAATAATGTTTGCCTGTATCCACCTCAGAGCTGAAAGCGTCAGTATAAGAAAGGAAATAATTTGGGTGAATAGAACAGCCCAGAATAACATTTTAGTTTGATTTACTTAATAAAGTGAATATTATTTTAAGTTCCTGTGCTGTAATTCTCGGTGGTTTCACAGGCCACAGCTCTCCTGCCAGCTTTAGCACGGTCTGTCTTCTATTACAGCGTTTTTCTGCCACTGCACACATCTGATTAGACTTACCTTGAGAAAATATGGCTCAGTGATGTACTCACGCATTGGCATCAGCTATAATGTCCACGTGGAATTAATTCACACTGGAATAGTTTAAAGCGAATAACAGCTATATTATATGGTTCTACCTCTGTTAAGTAGTCCTCTGGCTTGTGGACAAGGTGAATAATGCCAGACACTGAACAAAGTCTTTCTTTGTGGGGTTTTGCACATGTTTTTCATCCTGAGCTTGGGCTACACGCATTGTACAGTCAGTCACAGAGCCATTTTCATTTGATGTAGACGTGCTACATCTTTTCTTTAGATATGCACTCGGTGATAAGAGTGCTCACTGGTCATCTGGACAAAAATTGCATAAAACACCCAAAGAGGCACTGATGTTTTCAGACAAATGGAAAGCTCAAGCAGAAGTGCACCACACATAATAACATAGTGCATACTGCACATTAATGGATGATGTGAAGAGAAGGACCCAGATGCAGAAAAACAAGAAACAGCAAGCGGGGGTGGACTTAAATTACATTTATTTTCAACAGCTCAATTAAATCAACCTCGAAAAATACAAATAATAAATATGAACAAAATATGAACATGGACAACAAGGCTCAAAAAGTACCGAAAGAAAAAAGATAGCAAAATCAGTGTGTCTGACAAGGCCTGAGCCAAACCATGGAGCTTAAATACAGAATAAATTATGACAGAGAGACGGCAGCTGAGTGGGACGAGCACAGGTGAGGGGGATGAGCACAGATGAGGGGGGTGGAGCTGATGAACAGAACAGGAGGGACTACAGATGTGACTGGCAAGGAGCTAAAACCAGGAAGATGAAGTAAGAAAAACACAAGAGAACCCGAGATAAGAAGCAAAAAAGAAACCTGAGAAAATAAAAACTGCATTAAAACTCAAACTTGTAACTCAAATCAAGAACAAAGTCGAGTGAATAAACAAGAACCCTTGACAAGTGAATTTTAAGATAAACGTCAACAAAATGGCACAAGAAGATACAGTAAATGAATCCACACCAGAATTTCCCCTTCGGCTTAAACGTTCTGATGAAAAATAGATGTGTGACTTAATTTTACCTGTAAAGGGGGAAGGCCAAAAAAATAAAAAGATGAAGGTGTCTGAACCTAACGACAACCAGATGAGAGCATTAAAACGCTGCTGGAGGGGAAGGAGGAAAGATTGTGTGAGACAGGAAAGAGAGAGAGAGAGAGAGAGAGAGAGAGAGAGAGAGAGAGAGAGAGAGAGAGAGAGAGAGAGAGAGAGAGAAACAGAAACAGCAGTGATGAAGAGAGCGAGCTGTGTGTGAGGCTGCACATGCAGCCAGAAGCCACAGCACACTGACCATTCATGCAAAAGTAGGCAAACATCTGGACCTTTGTCCGGCCCCAGTCACAGGTAGCCAACAAATCAAGTGGGCAGGCCACAATGTTTACCTGGAGGACGTTGGCTGCTGGACTTGTCTACTGCTGCCTCAGGATGTGTCTCATACAATGCCAGAGTAGAGGTAAGACCGACTGAATCCTGTTGTTTTGCTCAACTATCCCACTGGCTGCAGCTCAGTTCAGTTTCATCTTCCTAACCTGGTATTTAAAAAGAAACAGTCAGCACATTTAACCCTTCAGACATGACAGAGTTCCATCTAAAAGGAAAAGATCCTGGTCAGATGTTCAGATCAGCCTGCGACAGGTATTTCAACACTACAGGATATTAAATGAGCTGACATTCTCTAAATATTAGCAGGCTTTTTGGCTCATAATGAGGCTGATAATACAAAAACAAATGACTGTTGTGGATGACTGGATCATAGTTAGAAAATCTTCATCTTGATTAATTTGTTTATAGGTTAACATTGAAGGAATTAAACTGTTGGTGATTGGATCATTCACTCTGTTTTTTTGTAATTTTTACTAAATACTGTATGTATATTTCTGTGAGCTGTTACTGTTATCTCCTTCTCATGTAATCTGTGGCTGATATTCAGTCGTTCAGCATGGGGGAAAAAAACGTCATGATGTAATCAGAGGCTGTTTGTACCTGGCGTTGTTTTCCTCTTCTTTTTTATATTTCCTTCCATCTATTAATTTCTTACATGATTAGTCCACCCGTGTAGGCAAAATGTAAAACATCTGGTCTCTTTTTTAAACGTTTTTGTTGTGAAACTACTCATTTGGAAGTTTCTGAGTTATGAGACAAACAGTGAAGTTGTCGGTCCCTTTGTTTTTCTCTGTAACGTAACTGCCAGCCTTGTGGAAACATGGCCGTATCAGAGAGTTGGTTTTCTAATTCTATGAACATCCCTGATTTGTCTGACTAAATCATGTCAGCAAAGACTGGATGGATTTTTCTCCTTTATAGGCTTGTCTCCCTTTCATTGGCTGACAATCCGTGAACTTTCTTGGATGAGCTGGTGACTAATTGGCCAAGCTTGTACCTGATTTACTGTACGACTTGGCATACTCTACCAAGTAACAATATTCTTGCTCTACTTTCTGCTATATTTTGAGTTTGTTTGCAACATGTCATGTTGCACCTTTTGTCAGGCAGTTTCCAGGTGAAAAAAAACTACAATTCAGAGGAAAGGTTTTTGTCTGAGAGCAAAATCTGACAGCCCATTTGTTGTTGTTTAGTCCTGTTCTGACTCATGAGCTGTAGGATTACTGGTGAAGTTAAGATGAAATCCTGAAGCCTTGTGAAGCACGCTGGGATCATCTGGAGTCAGTTGTATGTTCCATGTGTTACTCCGCCTTTGATTCTCCTCTTGCCTTTGAGGTTTATTGTCTGCAGATAAGATTTGTCTGTTGGGGTCAGAGGTCACAAAGTTTGAAATGTCATAAAAACCAGAACGTCTCGAGAGTGTCGCTGAACCGATGTCTCACATGTGGCGGCCTTAGTGTTTTTCATTTTTTTTTTTTAAACTTTTTATTTATGATTTTCAAGAATAAACAGACAAATTAAAAGACAAAACAACAAGGATAAAAATAAAAAATACAAATAAAAAAAAACTAACCAGACAACAAAACAAAAGTACACAGAACAGACAATCAAAACACTGTCAGCTAACAAAGGGTCTGATAAGAAGATAAAATAAATGCACATCAGATTGTATAATGTTATCGAGCATGAGACAGAGACCAAGCAAGTAAGAAACATTTCTGAGGACATTGAATCAAACAGCCCACCATGGAATATGGAATAACAAGAGAAGATGAAAACAAGTTATAAACACAATAACCATGCCGAAGCGGTAAATGAGTAAAATAAATTATTAGAGAAAAAACAAAAAAAAAAAAAACAGGTCCAGATGTAAACAACAGTTATTTTAGCCTATTATTTTGTATGTATCTATTGAAAAGACCCCAAACATCCAGGAACTTATGTTGATTGTCAGACAAAGAATATCGAATCTCCTCAAGATAGATACAGGACACCATATCATTAAGCCATTTCTTAAAACAAGGCAGGGTAGAGGATTTCCATTCCCGTAGAATAACCCGCTTTGCTACTACTAAACCAAACATTAGAGACTGTTGTAGAGACATGGGAAGAGCAAGAGAGGATTTAGAGCAACCCAGAATGATCAAATGCCAATCCGGACAGAGAGGCTCGTCATAAGCGTTGCTATAAAATTCAAAAATCTTGCACCAGAAGTCATTTAGTTTAGGACAAGAACAAAACATGTGACCCAGGGTCCCATCATCTAATTTGCATTTGTCGCATTTTGGTGAGACGCAGGGGAATAGCCTATTGAGTTTAGTTTTAGAAAAGTGCAGCCGATGGATAACTTTGAATTGAATAAGTTGCAGTCTAGAGTTAATGGAACAGGTCTTAATTCTCGAAAGAGACAAGTCCCATTGCTCGTCCGAAATCTCACCAAGTAAATCAGAAGCCCAGGCCTCTTTTATATGCCGAGTAGACGGGGATGAACTGAATAGATTAACAAACTGAGAAATTAGATTTTTAGAGGTGGGGGGCTTTTTTATAAGCTCGAAGAAACAATGCTGTGCCGGTAAGGTTTCATAGTGGGGGAGGTGCTGTTTTACAAAGTTCCGAGCTTGCAAGTACCTGAAAAAATGACTAGACGGAAGACCAAATTTAGATTGTAGTTGCGTGAAGGAAGCAAAGTTATTATTAATGTATAAATCCTTAACATCAACTATCCCCTTATTTGACCAGTGCTTAAACACTACATCCATATTACCTGGCTTAAAAATTGAATTCTGACAGATCGGGGCATAGATGGACAAGCCAGGGAGATTCAGTACATTCTTTAGCTGCTTCAGAATCCTGAGTGAATTTCTTAATATAAAATTGTCCTTCAGCAACTGAAAGGAAAAAGATGGATTGGAAAACAGTACTGCAGCTGAGGAAGAAGAAGTCAGCTCCAATAACGCAAGGTTTTCGTTCATTGGCCATTTGGGTAGTAGCGAGTCAACCAACTCACCCCTCGAACAGAGCTGAGTCCAGAAAACCCAGGATCTGGCATTACACGCCCAGTAATAGTATCGAAAAACAGGAAGGCCTAGGCCCCCCTCCGCAGTAGGTTTCTGTAGGTGAGATTTTGAAATTCGAGGGTGTTTACCAGCCCAGACAAAAGGGATTATAATAGAGTCTATCTTCTTAAAAAAGGAAGCAGTGAGATAAATGGGTATATTCTGAAAAAGATAGGTAAATTTCGGAAGGAGCACCATCTTGACAGCATTGATGCGACCAATCAATGAAAGAGGAAGGTGCCTCCACATGTCAGCCATGGATTTAATTTTGTTCATTAAATCCAAAAAATTATGTTTAAAAAGGAGTTTAGGGTCTCTAGTGATATTTATCCCCAGATACTCGAAATGACTAGTGGAAACTTTAAATGGCAGATTGCTAAGAAAAGCAGCGTTCAGACCATCTGAGAGAGGCATAAAAAGACTTTTATCCCAATTAATGGAAAAACCAGAAAGCTTACCAAATTTATTAATAAGAGTAAGAAGTGGAGAAAGAGAGACTGTGATGTCTGAAAGGGTCAGGATAACATCGTCCGCATACAGACCAATGGGACTATCTGTAGCATGGTCTGAAATGCCAGAGATCAATGGATGGGTCCTGATGGAAATAGCAAGGGGTTCCATGGCCAGTGCAAATAGTAATGGAGAAAGACAACACCCCTGTCTGGTTCCGCGATGCAATAAAAAAAAAGCAGACCTGTCGTGATTAGTCAGAACTGAGGATCTTGGCTGAGCGTAAAGCATTTTTAGTAAAGTCATGAATTTATCGCCAAAGCCAAATTTTTGGAGAACCATAAACAAATAGTCCCATTCAATTTGGTCGAATGCCTGTTGGGCATCTAGTGAAATAACTGCGGAGGCAGGAAGGTTGGTCTGGTACATAACACTTAAGAGTCGGCGTGTGTTTGAAAAGGAATATCTATTAGGGATAAAGCCAGTCTGGTCGGGATGGATAAGATGAGCTATGTGTTTATTTAAACGAGTAGCTAGTACTTTGGCTATAATTTTTTGGTCACTATTTAGTAAGCTTAAAGGACGGTATGAGGCAACATTAGAGCAATCCCTGCCCTTCTTAAGGAGAAGACAGATATGAGCATCATACAAACTCTGGGGAAACACTCCCTCCACCAAAGAAGAGTTTAACATACGCAGAAGAAGAGGGGCAACCAAATCCAAATAACATTTATAGAAATCTATTCCAAACCCATCCGGTCCACAAGCCCTACCAGGAGATAAAGAACGTATCGCAGATTTAATTTCTTCAATAGTAAAACTAGAGTCCAAGTATGCCCTGGCGGGTTCATCCAGGACAGGCACATTTAAATTGTTTAAAAAGACTTTAATATCCGTGCTGGTAGCACTACTCTTGGAGGTGTATAAATCACTGTAATAATTGAAAAAGGCATCATTAATGAGTTTAGGATCAGTTAACAGTTGGCCAGAAAGAGAAGTAACTTTATGAATAGCTCTATCTGCCAGAGTGCCTTTTATTTGTCTAGAAAGCAATCTATCAGGTTTGTCCGCCAGTTCAAAATGCTTTTGTTTAAGTTTGCGAATGCAATTACCGACTTGTTCACCAAGCATGTGGTTATATTCAGATTTTATCTTCAGAATAGCATTAAGTATATTTTCATCATTTGTATTCTGGTACCTGTCCTCCAAAGCAGACAGATCAGCCTGAATATCTGCAAAACGCTGTGATCTGGCCCCTTTAGCAGAAGACTGATAAGAAATAATGTTGCCCCTCAGAACCACCTTAAATGACTCCCACAAGATTGAATCAGACACATCACCTTTGTCATTAAAAAAAAGAAAATCTGAAATTTTAGCTGAAATGAAGTTCTTAAGTTCTTGATCCGAATTGGTGGGGGGGATAAACCTCCAGTTAAACGATGGGGCATGGAGGTTAAAGTGGATCTGAAGTAAGAGAGGGGCGTGATCTGAAATTAAGATCCCGTGATAGAGAGAACTGACTGTACGTGAAATCAATTTAGAATCAATTAAAAAGTGGTCAATTCTGGTAAAACTACCATGAGAAGGGGAAAAAAAGGAGTATTTGCGATCGGACGGATGCTGGAGCCTCCAGATATCAACTAAGTTTAGTGACTTAATGAGATTATTTATAACAGACACTGATTTCAAAGGAGAAGCAACCTTATTGGAGGACCTATCCAACACTGGATCGAGATAACAGTTAAAGTCACCTCCTATAATCAAGTCCCTATTATTAAATTGTGAAATAATATCAAATATCTTGCAGAAAAAGTCGGGACAGTCACAATTTGGGGCATAAATATTCAAAAGGGCAACAGGGATGGAATTAATTTCGCCAGTGACAAGCACATACCTCCCACCCGGATCTGCAATCATGGAGTTAAAAATAAATGGGATAGACTTGCGAATTAGGATTGCAACCCCTCTAGCCTTGGAAGAAAAATTAGCTTGGTAAACCTGAGACACCCAAGAAGATCTCAACCGTCTCTGCTCAGTTGGTTGAATATGAGTCTCCTGCAGAAAAACAATATCAGATGAAAGTGATTTTAGGTGTGAAAACACCTTCGCTCTTTTGATAGCCTTACCAAGGCCTCTACAGTTCCAGGAAACAAAATTAATCGGACTCATGCTCGAGTTGAAAGTACTATTATTCTGCATTTATCACAACATAAAAAAAACAGCTGACAGGGTAAACAAAAAAAAACACAGGCAACTTAACGGCAACAAGATAAAAACAAAAACAGAAACCCCAAAACTCACCCTTGCCGCAACCTGAACAAAGCGGCATATCCCTGAATCTAGAGTGGAGGCTGCCGGGTAACAGAGCAAAAAAAAAAAAAAGAATCACAAATGGGCAATCCAAACCCAACACCCCGTGTTTACCTCCAGAAATTGTAGAAAATAATTAGTGTGCACCAAAGCTTAATCAAACTAGCAAACTAACTAGCATGGAATGATTAACAAAGTCATTTATTATGAGACAAAGAATTGGCAAACTGCTCTGCATCAGCCGGTGAAGTGAAGGATTTCACAGTGTCATTTAAAGAGACTTGTAGCTTGGCAGGAAAACGCAGGGAACACTTGGCTCCGGCCTCCACCAGCCTCTTCCTCACGGTGTTAAAAGCCTGGCGCTGTGCTGAGACCTCTGCTGTGTAGTCTGGGAATAGGAACACTTTCTGGCCATGGTACATCAGCGGGGCTTGCTGTCGACTCAACCGTAGAATATTCATCACGTCGCGGTCGTTGTGGACCCTGGCGATGATAATCCGAGGGCGTTCATTAGGAAGTGGCTTTGGTCTCAGGGCACGATGCGCCCTATCAATTTTAACGGGCTTGGGAAAGTTATTCTGTCCCAGCAGCTCAGGGATAAATTTCGAGACAAATTCCGCCGGTCGATCCCCCTCTACACTTTCCCCGAGGCCAACAATCCGAATGTTTTGTCTTCGCGAGCGACCCTCCAAGTCGTCAACTTTTTTCTTAAGAAGGCTGTTAGCCGCCGCTAGCTCGCTGTATGATGACTCCAGGGCCGAAACACGGGCATCGGTAGAGGTTAAAGCCGAGTCCATATCATCCAAACGGAGCCGAACCTCACCATGCTCTGTCTGCAGAGTTGTTAGACAGGCTTCAATGGAGTCCAGACGTCCTTCCAGTGATTTCTTGAGAGTATCCACGAGTGTGTAGACTTTAGAAAGGTCATCTTTTTGGCTATTGACGGCGGCTAGTATGGTCTCGTTGCTAACAGCCGAGCACGCCTGAGCAGCCGACTTCTGGGCTTCGTCTTTCCTAGGCATGATGCAAAATGCCAAAACTAAAATAAACTGAAGAGATGAGTGCCAGCTACTCACTTTGTGACAAATAAATAAATATATTTGGTGCGGTAAATATGTTTTAAATGAAGGTAGTGACACGGAGCGATGCAAAACACGACTACTCCATTACTGCACACTAGCGCCCCCCCGTGTTTTTCATTTTTCACCTGGATGATTTTGGAGCTTAACAGGCTCCAGGTGTCTTTTGGGTCCACATTAAATCCGTAGGCAGACACCTGTGAAGAATCTTCTCAGCATCACATGTCTTAATGTCTGACTGTCTTTTCTCAAAAGTCCTTTTTCCAGCTGCAAGCAGAATAAGAAGAGGATTGACCACAGAAGTGAATCCGACCTTTCACAACTCCATTAGTGACGCCCACCTGCTGTTCGAGGTAAATGTGAAAAAAGCAAAAAATTATTTGTGGGCAAACGTTAATAGAGTTTCTCCAAACAGATCCTGATGACAGGGATACGCTTCGAGCCCAGCGGGGGGTTTTCAGTGGAAGACCCCGAACTGTCTTCACTCCGAAAGACAAGGAGCCTGGACATTATCTGCGAGGAGATCATTCCTAAGCAGCAGACAGACGTGCTCAGGCTCGTGTCCGACCTGTCCAATCACACCAGCCGCTTGGGTCAGGAGGATTTTGAGCGCACGATGCTGACGTTGGTGTACGCCAGCCAGCAGATGATCGGCCCCACCGCTGAACACCAAAAGGAGCTCTGGGCGCAGTCGTTTGTTGGATTGTACAAAGCCATCAAAAAGGATCTGACACTGACAGACTGAGTTGACATGGCTTTTCTCTACGTTTTTCTTATTTTACGACGTCTGTTTGTACGGGTCAGCAGTCCTTATTTGTAGACTGAAGAAAAGATGTGATGCATTTTGAAGAAATAATTGCTTCTGTAATGCAATGCGACGAAAAAGAAACAGAAACTGTCTGTAGCAGGGTCACAAGAATATAGAGTGAAGCAATGACTGATATCAAATCTGTAATGACGCACATTAACTCAGACATGTGCTCCATTTTGCACTTGGTCAGCTGAAAAAAATCAAGAAAACATTAAACTCTTGTTCTGTGAACACGGGTGGAGGTTGAGAAGTGTTGCCTGGAGTGAAATGGATGTCACAGATCACACTTCTTAGCATTATTCTGTCTTGGTTAGCTTAAGATATTTGAACCTTTCCAAAATGATATAGTGACATCCTGCCATAACATAATATTTAAAAAAGCAAACTGATAAATGACAAATAAGAATAAATGAATAAAGATTACAGGCCTCTTGTCAGAGGATGCTTTTAATAGAACATGTAAGAATGATATGTACAGGAATGAATCTGTAGATCCAGCACAAACTGATCACTGTTATGGGAGACCGTTCACAGGAGTAACCATCCTCCCCGTGGCACCAATCAGTTCTGAGTTGGGTATGTTTTTTGTTCTATTTCGGCTTCAACCTCTGCTGAAAGTAAATATGTTAAAGCTGTCCATGTTCACAGCCTGCGTACGGCACAAAATCGTCCCATTCTACTGCATTCTGATGGGTCCATGTTCAGAAAGCTAACGCTCCCATATGTTACAGTCGCTGTTTCATAATTGTAACACGTCTTTCAGCACACCACAGTTATTTGTCCGAACCACATAACCAAACTCTGGCGAGGTAAAAAAAAAAAGAAAAGAAAATCTTGTTTAGAAAAGGCACAGCATGTTTTTTTACTGCTTTGTTCCCACCCTTCGACAGCACCTCAAGATTATCACAACAGTATATCATCAACTTATCGCCATAATGAAAACACAGAAAATAGAAGCTCAGCTATTGCTGCAGGATGTTGTTTGAACCTGTTCCTCTCAATGATTGTTGAAATCATTTGCACCACGTTGTTACAGTACAATGCCTCTGAAATATGTCGGAAGTGAGCTGCCTTCGATGGTATTGTCTTTGAAACACCAACAAGATGGCGTAAACCCCAATCACAGACCAGCTCCTGCGACGGTCTGTTAGGGCACTGGATTTCCCAGAGGCTGTTTGGGCTCCAGGGAGTTGACCATTCCAGGAGGGCAGAAAGGTATATACCGCAGCCAGGAGAAAGAGGACAAGTAGGAGCTGATTCCGAAGGGGAGGCTGTAGACTTCTCCACTTTCTAGTGTGTTGCTGGAGTCATCCTCGTGAGCTTTGTTCCAGGACAAGATGCCTCGTTCCTGCTTAGTTCCTGATGGACAAGAATATGTAAGAAAATAATTGCCATTACAAAGCTTTTAGTCTTTACGGTCTGATGGAGTTTAATGGAAATATTGTGACTTCTCTGCTGAATTGTCTGCTAATATGCGTCTTAATTGTTGTCTGATGTTATTGGAAATTTCACAGAAACACAATGGACTAGCAAAGCAGTCCCCCCTGCCCCCTTCTAACAACGTGTACGATTACCTGGAATGGTGTTGTCCAATATGAAGCCGAAGAAACCTCCTACAAACATACTAGTTGTCAGTAAAACCTGGAGCATCTGGTCAACTTCTACCACACCTGGACACAGAGATATTTGGACATTTTTAATCACTATTTAAATTCTTCACAGAATGGATGGTTATATAGACTGTTTATCTATGGACCTGTGGCAATGGCTTTGGGGTTCTTCAGTATCCAGTTCGGAATGACAAGACCAGAAAACATGGAGAATCCAAAAATGAAGATGTTTCGGGATGAATTCATGTCTGTGTACTGAAAAAAAAATAACAATATGTCAAAAGACAAAAAGAAAGGCAATGGTGTTGAAATGATTGAGGTTCAGAGCATGCATACCTGAAGATTAGAAACTCCTGCTGCACAGATGACACCAAACATAACCATGAACATGCCCCCCATCACAGGGGAGGGTATAGTGGTAAATATGGCGCCCACTTTACCAAATATACCCATGGCGACCATAAACACTCCACTCGCCACGATGACCATCCGACTGCCAACCTGCAAAAAATGCATGTGACATCTTTTGTATAAATGGATATAACCATGTATGAAATTGGTTAACAAACTGGGATAATTTGAAATGGTCACCTTACCTTTGTAATACCAAGGGCTCCAACGTTCTCACTGTATGACGTGGTTCCATTTCCTGTCCCCCAGGCTCCAGCAAGCAGACAGCCCAGTCCCTCAATGCCAATACCTCTGTTGATAGCATGTTTAGGTGGGGGTGGAGCTCCAGACAACCTCGCACAAGCGTGGTAATCCCCGACGGATTCGATCATAGAGGAAATCACACCAGCCAAGATGCCGACCACTCCTGCCAGGCTCACAGTCGGCATTCCCCACTGTCCTGATTTTTGTTATAAACAGCGGGAGCAGAAAAGCATGCCAATAAGTAACAGCATGTTATTGTGGTTTTTCAGTTAAACTGGATTTACCTTGGTCACTTAGTTACCAGACGGCTGCATCTTACCTGGGTAAGGGAAGGTTAACCAGGGAGCTTGGCCTATTACGTGTCCCTTTAGATCTGTGCGTGCAAGGTAACCATAGTGGTCTGGATCGGTCGGAAGGACGTTGTATGCAGTCAAAATGTAACAGATTAGCCAAGACAGTGTGATTCCTAGTAGGACCTGAGGATACATAGAAATCCCAGTTGGTGTCTTTTTTCTTGGCCTTTAAACGTAAAGCGTAATATTTAAAATAGGATGCATTTATTTCCTACTTACGGGTAGAATCTGAAAGACGTAGATTTGAGAGGTATGAAGCTTTCTATCTTTGCTGTATGTGGGAAATGGCACAGCAATGTGACGGAGGTACTGTGAGAACAGGATGATCAGCACTGTGGTCCTGGGTGGGGGAAAAAAACTGTCATAAATTCACAATTTTAAATTGAAAGTAGAGCAAGCATGCAGCTTTTTCAGCCGAAAAACTGTGAAAGGCTTTCCGACACTGGAGATTAAGACCAAACACTGATTTCATAAGAGAGAAATTTGTGTAAATATACTGTACAATATTGTATAAAACTCAATGTAATAAATTAAGCAGATCTAAATCTAATCTTTAAAATGATAAAGCCCTTTTGTTTTTGCTTGACTCTCTGGGCTCTTTGAACCTACATTGAAGAGATGCCCCAGTGGTTGCCGGCACTACTGCCAGCGGAGTCAAACAGCGACAGTCCAATGAGAGCAATAGTGGGAGCGATGGTGAGAGGTCCGATGAAGCGCATGAAGAGGCCGATTAGGCCCGAGAATCCGACAAACACCTGGAACAGTGAGCCAACCATAATGGAGCCCTGCAACTGAGGACAGAAACATCAACATCAGAGGTTTCGGTCAGTCTTTTACACAGATTTAACCAGAAGTTTCAGCTTTGAATCAGAAATTCTTCAAATGGAGAGAGTGATATGAGGGTAAAACTATTAACTGAACTTACTTTTCCCTAAATTCTCTCACTTATAAGCAGTGATGTCTTCAAATAAGGACTCACTGCACTTCATTTGTAAACAATGAAACCTTTTATGTGAGCTGACAAAAACTATTTATCCACCGTTGCGTCGATTTATTAATTCACAGTCATTTTTCTTTGTATTATCTTTGTGGATTCAGGTCTCGTCCACCCTCTGGTAAAGCTTGAGTACTACAACAACATCTCCTTAATGCCTTAAGATTGGCCAAGCATGTAATGTTTTTACTGTGCAGAGATGGAACAATGGCGGCTTTTGTGCTACGGGGTTGAGCTGGAATGATCAGCACAGGTGCCAGGGCCGATAGAAACATGACTTTACTCCTAACACTTCACTGCATGTGGATGTTAAACTGGGAGGTTGAAAGGGTGAGCCCTGGGAGTCTCATGACCGACGTCCTTTACCAGTTGCCAACAATCAGATGAGAGCTGTGTTTCAGACTGTTAAGTGGTCACTCACTGCTCTCATTCGACTCTGCCAGACTTCAATGAACTCTGTGGAGGATGTGTTCACGGAGCTGGCGTTCTGAGTCCAAGCAGGACACGTCCACTCCGGCATGGACAGCATTGCCATGGAGGGAGCCAACAATGTGAATGTGCCTCCTTGGAGAATGGGCAACCTAGAGATAAAAATTAGAGAGTCATCCGGAGACGTATGAGGCAAGCTGGCCACGTTGGATTCTGTTCAAATATTCCATCATTGTAAGTTGGTAAGAAGGTCTCACACAGGCTCTAAAGACTATCTATTACATATGACAAAATGGTTGATTCAGATCATGTGAAAATAGAGAGTGACTCTCTCATTAGATGAGCAGGCTGGAGGTTAAATGAGATAAAGTAATAAACTGCTAATGACAGCCATTATGCTGCTCACTTCCCGATCAACAATGCAGATCAGGCTGAAGTTAAACTTCTCTGTAAAACATGCAAATTAGTAGCTCGCAGGGAGTTAATGAAGAAGCTCAGACGTGTGAGCAGTGGAAAAAAAATAGCTTAAACCCTGATTTTGTCTTTTGTTTTGTTTTAGTTTTCTTCCGGCCGATTCTCAAGTATTTTGGAAAAGACAAGAAAGCATCAGTGGTGCTAAACCCAGAGAATGTGGACTTAGAGCGAGCTAGATTCCGAACATAATAAGATGGAAATTCCTCGGCTAATCCAACTGTGACACCGATAATATTCAGGCAGGCTGTGCCTGCACAGTTCAGTGCTGGAGCGCGCAGCTTAAGTTTGTCGTTTCCCAAAAGAGAATGAACCATCACATCGGTTCATTTCTTATTTTAAGCGTCACCATTCACAGATAACATTTTGAGCAGGCTTTAGTATTTACAGTGAAGGTTGACCACTTTTTTTCTTTTTGCTGTCACTCTGCATTGATTAAACACTGCTTATTTTAAATTTGAGATGCAGCTTCAAGGCACAGAGTTTACAGCAAGGAGTCACTGTATTCCTGGAAAAATTTAAAAGCACCTTAATGCAAAAACTAAAGCTGCTCCACACAATGTTTTTTATCGGTAATCCCTTGATTATCCGTGCATAAACCCGGTGAGATATTCAGAAGTTCATCGTGTAAGCTCATTCTGGCAGAGCAAACAGTTTCAAACAGCTCGGGAAGGAAATCTGTTGAGCCGATCTCCTCCACATCTTTAATACAAGATGGCAGCATCGTTGAGTCCCTTTTAATGAGCTGGAGACTCTGCTATCTTAGAGCGTTTTAGCATCCCTTAATTTACCAATCTGGACTATTTCACAGCAACCTTTCACACACTCATTAACTACATTTGCCCGTTTTGCCTTACCTGATGCCAAAGGTGACTTGCAACAGAGTGCAGATGCCAGAAACAAAGAAAATGGTGCTGATGAGGTGGCTCTGTGTGAGGCCATCATGTTGCAGACAAAGGCCTTGGGACAGGATCAGAGGGATGGCAATGATGCCCCCAAAAGCTGTCAGACAGTGCTAAAAAGCAGAGAAAGCATTCAGTTTGTCCCATGCTCAGGTGCAGGGTAACATCGTTTCTATAGATACAGAAGGACGGAAATTAAAGTATGTCAGCTGTTACTGAATCTAAAGTCATGGTCTTGACAACCAAATCAAGCCACCATGAAAAGAATTTCAAGCTGAAGCTGCCATGTGGAACTGTTGTTATCTATTATTATAAAGATCCATACAAAGGTTCCTGGAAAACGGAGCCTTAAGACCTTGTCAGACATGACCTGTTGCTGCTTTGTCACCATACCTGCGTCCCCAGGAGGATGCAGAGGTACCAGGGGGGTACGTCTGTGACACAGTAGGCAAGTTTGTTTCCATCCTCATCGATGGAGGAGTCCAGATCCTCCCCTGTGTCTTGCAGATCACAGAAGCGTCCCTCCAACTTCGACATGGAAGCAGAGAGGCAGGAAGAGGCCACTTAAAGGTGTGAAATGCTGATCAGATCTGCAGATCTGACGCTTAGACAGAAACTCTGAGCACAACAACAACATTCCCGTTACTGCCGCTTGGGCTCCTGTCTCCAAACCAAGTCAGCACACTGCAGTTATTCAGTTATATCACATCTGAGATCACAGAGAGGTTTGTATTTGAACACTGTAAAAAGTCCCCCAACAGTGGCTTAGTTGTCTTTTCAAAAATGTGATATGAAGCATGGATGAGCAAGAAGCAACATCACAGTGCTGTGTCTGCCACATTAACTTCACATAAACGAAGGTCGAGGCTCTTTTTAGCATGCAATTGTGAAGCCTAAGCACATCAATGGCTCAGTTCTGATTCACAGGTAAAATTCTTCAGCAGGGATCCTCCCTCAGATAACATCGTTTCAAATTCAGAGTCAGAAACAAGAAGTTCACTCACCGCGAAGGCATAGTTGTCAAGTCCATTACTTTCTTTGTCTGGAGTCATATCAGCTTCAGCCTGCTGGCTCAAGTTTAGGTCTTAGCAGAGATTTGTCGCAAAACAGAACACAGACAAAGACAACACAAAAAAATCAAAAACACAAAAAAAGCATTAGGCAGAAGGGAGGGAGCACAGACGGAGAGGACTGGACTGAAGCATCTGACAGAGGAGGAAGAGAGTTGGGAGGCTGCGGCGCGGGCGGGGTGGACAGCGTGGTATGAAAAAGCAGATTTCAGACATGGGACTGCAGCTCTTGTTGATTGAAATAGGTCCAACCAGCCGCTCATGTGAACCGAATTACAACAGTAGCAGCAGCTGACCAACCAGCTCTCAGCAGGTCGGAGACACGCTCTCCGTTTCCCACATAAACACCGGCTCCCTGCAGGACTTTAATACGCTCATTTAGGCCTGCAGGTCAGGAAAATCTGAGAAGAGCCCCGAGGAGAAACGTGAAACGAGGTTAAGATTAGTGAACAGCATTAATGATGGGGGGACAATCAGAGAGTTTGAAATCGATATCGTGCTAATGTTCATGCTTAGCATGCATTTAAAATCATCAGTCTCTTTTTTTTTATCAATGTGTAATAGTGAGGGATTCATTTTTTTCACCTTTAAGGGGAGGCTGAGATAGCATTAAAACATTTATGGATTTCCTTTGCAGTGGTTTGTCAACTCTGTACTGTAAAGTCAAATTCTACAGTGCTTGACATTTTGCCGAATGAAAAGTCTTTCCATTCCCAGTCTGCTCCCCTTCTAATTTTAACAACAAACATTTGTTTTTTGGGGGGGAAATCTCCCTGACTATCACGTGCTGGCAAGCCAACACGTAGTACAAAGCTGTTATTCAAAGGCTGCCGGTAAAAGTTCAGCAAATCCTAACTTCATTTCCCAATTTACTGTATAGCTCTCAGCTCCCGCAAATGATATTACTTTAAATTACATTATTACTCCAAATGAAACGTTTTATACCAGCCCACATCTACTTAATTAACATCGTGCAGAGGAAGTTTACGGGGCAGCAAAGCTCACATTCACACTGTTAGTATTCGTATTTCTACTCCCGTTCAAAAAGGCCTCTGTTTACAAAGTCATATTCTAGGTCAGAAACCAGGAAGTTAAAGGGAGAAACCACCAGACTGATGCTCTAGATGCCGTGCATCCCCTAAAGGGAAATGAACGTCTACGATATAGATGTCCATTTAAATGTTTTTAGATGCTCTCATTCCCATTCACAGACGTGTGTCTCGTGCTGCCTCTGAGGCTTCATCGCAGTAAGCCTTTAATGTGATAAATTTCACAGCAAAAGCATCAGGAAAGCTGGACACACGCTATTTGAAAATTCAACTTGAATCACTTTTATTACGCGCTCCTTTCAGGCAACGATATGTTCACGTTAAATTCCAAACAATCTACATGCAGATCAAAAAAAGCAGAGTAAATCAGAATTTGTCTGGTGTTGTTTTGCTATTGTTGAAGCATGAAAGGTTGGAGCAAATATCCACCACAAACTCAAAATGGTTCGAGGAAATTGAGCTCACATGCAGGAGGGTAACAGCCCTGAGATGTCATAAGGTCTGCTCTGTGTGCATGTGACTCTGTGGAGTGTGTAAGGACCCGTCACATGTCAGGTAGCAAAAGCCAGTATCTCTTCAACACATGGAACAACAGAGACCCCAAACCCTTTTGCTGTTCTTCTTCATGTGCATATAGGATAGAAACCAGAATATTTGCATCGGACCGCCACGAACTGTCTGTGAACATGAAACTTTCCTGTCTTGTTTTCTGAGTCACGCTCCATCCTCTTTTCCACAATTAGTGTGTTTTTCTCTCAACTGTGACACACAGGCTCATGATCGTACAGTCACAGGGGGGCTGTGCAGCATTTAGTTTTTTTTTTACCTTGTCCTTTTCAGCATTATGGCAAGGGAACTGAAATCTGACTACCGTGCTACATACTGTATTTGTAAAACATATTTGTTTTGCCAAAGGATGACCCCCCCCCCTTGATTATCCTACACTGCTTTATATATCTATTCATTTTTGTTGCAAACCTTGACATTTATCCAATGATGCCTGACCTGAAAGACCTACAGGGAAGAAGAGTGAGCAAAGAAAAACAAACCCGAAAAGGAAAAAAGATCCTTTAGACAGAGAGAGAAAGAAAAAAAGCCAAGACAACAAAACCTTGTGTCAGGCTGCTGTGTCTGTACAAAAGAAACAAAAACATCCTGTAGTTTCTTGTGGGTAATCCGGGCGGAGACCCTTTAGAGGCATTTTGTCTTCAGAACAATTTAACCTGATCTCATAAATTGGATCTAAGTTTTTACTTGGATTAGGAAGGAATTTTCCTACAATACCATGTTACAACATGACACCTCGTCATGTTACTCCCCGACCACATAAAATAACATTGTTTTCATCTTGTGACAAAAAGTTGTAAAGAATCCATTTGAGTTAGAAGTGAGACATTTGCTTTTCATTGATTAGTTCTAGAAGTCCGGTGGACTGCCCACGCAGATGTTCTTTTTTGTTAGTTACGCCGCAGAAATCGATTATCTGTTGACTGGAAGAGAAGCTAATCAGGTTTAACAGGACAATGGAAATTCCAGAAATAGTAGTGAAGCGGCCAAATAATGGACGATAGCTCCAAAGCACCACTCAGGTACAGTATAAATATGTGCTGTGTGCTTTTAGGACCGGGTTTGGAAACGTTGGATCAATCAAAAATCATCTAGCATCAGCCTGAAAAAAAACTAGCACTTATAATATAAATCTAACTTTTATGTCTATATTCACATAAATTTTGCTCTGTGTTTTCTACTTAAATGTAATTTCTATTCTTGAAGAAGCTGTTTTAATCTTTACTCATGTTGTATCCCCCTGAGAAGATCAAAGTGTCCCCAGCAGGACTTAATATTTTTTTAAAATAGAGAAATACATACAATGAATTATTACCCATACATCCCCTGACTGAATAGAGGTAGGTATTTTTAAACTATTATCCTGAATTAGTTTTCTTCTAAGAATGGCAAATGTGAATTGTGTGTGTGTGGTCAGAATTTAAAAACCTGAACACTAAAATTATAAAATGTCTGGTTGGCGTGCTGGAACAAACCACCGATGCCTCCGCTGACAACCTAAAACCACTAGATGGAGACAAGGCCCCAACACGCGGGGATGAGTGTTTACACTTGGCAGAGGCGGCCTGACATGTGGGAGGCCATTCTAGGGTCAAGGTGATAAAAAAAATATTAGCTGTGCAGTAAATCATGTTGATAAGAGAGAGAAGCAGCCACTCAATCGTGCTTTAAAGGTGGACATTATCTACGTGTAGAAACCCACACAGATCCAGTCTGAGTCCTGTCAAACTTTTCAAGTGATGACAGTGAAGGAAGACTGTCAGATTACACATTTATAGTGAGTACGCCATAAATCGCAGTCATTCTGATACACTGAGAGGAAAACTTTGACATCACTTTGTTCTGATTATGGAATTTTCTTAGAAGAATACTTAGAAGGATAGCTGATAGTGAGCTGATGCTCACTATCAGCTGACCCTCCCCCTCTACCATGAGCATGTGATACCAGTCAAACATGGGCTGGCAGGAGAGGGACGACACCCACATTTTCTCACCTGGTGGAGAAAAGACTTCAGCCAGACTTTACACACTCCAAGAAGTTCTGTCAGACAAACCTGGCAACAGAGGAGACGTTTTAGAGCTTCTGACCTTCTGTTTACTGTTGATCATTTCAGCTCAAAAAGGGACGTACTATGACAGATGTGCTGATGGCGGGGGATAAAGTTCTGGTAATGTGGACCAGAGGAGACACAGAAAACAAGTCCTTCACGGATCAAGAAAGGGAAACGCAGCCACACAAAAAGATTTCTCACTCGATTGAGGAGATTCTCAGAAGGCCAACGTGTGTCAGAAGAGCGGGCAGCGCTCATCGGAGCTGGTCTGTCATAAAAGAAAACCACCAAGTACCTCGGCAGCTCTCAGGCACAGGTACATTTTCACCGTCTTTTTGAGAATTTGACCTGAAACACGACACTAAAGTGTGCCCTCCGGTTCCCTCTGCCAACAGAACCACCACAGATCAGACTTTTGGATCAGTCGTCGGATTCTGCAACACACTGTGAGTGTTATTCTCATTATTAATACTAAAGAAAGACAGAAAGAGAGTAGGGTTTTCCACCGTTCATCCCACAGAAGGGCAACTGTCATGTATCCTCATGAGGACCGCGACGCTGACAGTTATTTGGTTACAGGTCAGAGGAAGAAACGGCAAACCAGAGTCACTTTCACGCCCTTCCAGGTGCAAGAACTGGAGGCAGTTTTCCACCAGACTCACTACCCAGACGTCAACATCAGAGAGGAGTTGGCCTCACGCCTACAGCTCACTGAGGGCCGAATACAGGTAGGAGACTGGCTCTTCTGTTGTTCAACCCATTCAGTTCAGACTAAATGTAAAATACACTTAAAAGCTCAGAACAATCAGACATTTTGGACTAAAAGAGCAGCAGCTTTGTTACTTGTTTACCCAACTAATTTTGGTCAAATAAGAATCCTCCTGTAAATTATAAACTAATCAAATTTCCTTTAATTTGGAGACAGTTTCAGTTCATTGCACATAAATCTATCAAACCGATCTTCGCCGATGCAAATGATCTTTGAGCAATTGTCGAAAACATAACCAAATGATTAATGAAATATTAGGTAAGAGTAGTTCAAATGGCATTGATTGTTTATTGATGCAAAGATAGCCGTGTAGAACATTAACCATATTTGACAAAATGTAGCGTCCATTCAACAATTGTGTTAAGCTATGAGTTTATCACTCAAACTAAAATTTGGTTCTGAACGCATAAACCTGTTGAGCTCTTTCAAAAAACTCAGTATTTACAGATTTGCCAGATTTTCAGACAGCTGGATTTGATTTGCAATTGCTGTACTTCAGATTTGGTTCCAGAACCGCAGAGCCAAGTGGAGGAAGGTGGAAACTCTAAAGGAAATAGAGCTGATGTCCGGACAGCATTTGCGTTCAGCTGATCATCGCCTGCGGTATCATGAGGTGAATTAACACTCTTTGGGTGCTCCATTCAAAAGAATCCATGGCAAATCACAAGTTAACACGTTCTTTCTTGTGCTCTCCCAGGAGGCTTTGCCACAGGCGGTGTGCTGGCAGCCGTGCGCTTTACTTAAACCTCCACAGTCAAGGATGCACTTTAGATCCATACCAGCCCAAGTGGTGCTGACCAGCACACATGCCCAAAGTCACAGGTCGCTCTGTTTTGACCCGCTGGGGACGGAATGAAAGCAGCGCCATCGTCCTCAAAATGCTGTCTGAATTATGTCAAAGTTTGCTTTTCATCAAAGGGGGTTAAAAACTGTAATCTGGGAATCTGTCATTGCCGGTAGATGAAATTCTCAAAGTATGTTACAGTGCGGTCAGTTTGGACAAACCTGGAAACGGCTGCATGTCAGCTACTGAGGGTTTTCTGTCATTTACCAATAAAGCTGACTTTTGAAAAAACAGAGAAGGTGTGAGTTTTTCCTGACGCTTTAGGTTTGAGGCTGCGGTAGGCAGCAGTGCAGTGTTATTGTGCAGGAAAGTGTTTCGATTTTTTTTCATGACACCACACTTCCCCGACAGAGATTAGATACAGTGCTGCCATGAACTCCTCATCTGTTTGACTTTTTGACAACCTCTCCTTATCTTAATTTGGCCTTATAAGTTGAGGTTATTTGCAGGTCAGCTGGGTGATTTCTTGGACTATCAGTGCCCGGGAGAAATATCGGCTAAAGCTATTACTGAGTATTGGAGGTGTGGAGACGTGTTGATAAGTATGCCTTTTAATGCATTTATGTTTCTTTATAAACACGAATTTCCACCATCCACTTTTTTCTTTAGCGGAACTGACATCTGGTCTCATAACTGTGATATGAACCTCTCACATATCCGTTTTAAAAGTGTTGCATAAGGCACTTTTTGGGGGGTAATTGCCTATTCTGAGAAAGATAACAAAACTTTACCTTCCACATCAATTCAGTAACTGATCTGACTGTACCATAACTGATAGCAGGGCTCTGAGTACTGTTAAACTTTTCACCCCGGCTGTATCTTCTTTTATTGCTTGTGCGATAGATCTTTATTGTCGCTCATAAGTATGGTTAAAGATGACAAAAATAGTTGGGGCAGAGTAACACAAAACCTTGACCAGCTTTGTTTAGCAGTGACTTTAAAGTGGAGTTTTACAGGCGGGTAAATGTTGAGTGAGTTTAGCATCAGAAAAGCGTGGCAATGAGCAAAATGATCATACAAATACATTTTTATAGTCACAATGAAAAGACTTAAAGGTAAACGCTAGACAAAAAACTCGGGGGAGAAGGCCAAAAGCAAGGAGATAGTGAAAACACCAGCGGGCAGATAATCCAGAACCTTTATTCATACGTCTTATTGGTGCTCAGTGAGGGGTTTTTGCTAAAAATTGTAGATTCATTGTGTTACTGTATCGAACAGATTGGTGTGTGCATGCAAAACTACTTTCTCCAGTTGAACTCAGACAAAACTGAAATCACTGCCTGCAGCCGACAGAAACAAAGAGGAAGTGTCTTCAGTCACCTTTAGACTTTCTCTGTTCAACCTAATATTCAGGCTGTACATTTTTGTATAAAACTGGACTCAGACCTGAACTTTAGCAGTCACGTTAAATCAATTACATCAGCAGCCTTTTACCATCTAAGAACATTCAGAATCAGAGGAATAGTGTCTAAACCAGATTTAGAAATACCAGGATTAAGACAATAAGGATCCTTTCTGGATCCTTTAAGTCAGCTGCAAAACTACAGTTCTGACCAGAACCAGGAAATACAGCCACATTAGTCCAGTGCTCTGGTCTCTGCACTGGCCTTCTGAAGTCAGAGAACAGACGTTAAAAAAGCACTGCTTGTATACACGTCTCTTCATGGTTTAGTTCCAAAGTACATTGTCATGTTAGAGCCGTATGAACCTTCTCAGGCTCTGAGAACTCCGGTTCTTGTCTCCTGCCCAGAGTCTGGACCAGGTGAGGCTGCGTTTGACTGTTTTGCTCCTTAAATCCTCCAGAAGAAGAGAGACAGGCCTTGACTCTGACAATGATTACATCCAGGCAGAAACCATTTCCACAACGTCCTTTAGTCTGAATAAAGATGCGACTTGGAGCTTCGGTTTGATATCTTGAAGCATCTGACTTAGCCTGAAAATCAGGACACTTCTTATTTTGCCTATTTACAGATTTAAAAAAACCTCACCATCCTGCCAGCTCTTTCTGTTGCTAAGCAACAGTGCAAGGCATGCATCTGGCTTCTTTTGCTATATGCTAGGCAGGAAGGGGTGGGCGGGGCCTTCCGAGCACTGATGAGTGGGCGTGGCTAAACGTCAACATTCTGTGTTCTGTTCCTTTATTAAGTATGTGTTCCATCTTACATTCAATGTAATTATGAAAAGCAAAAGACAAGGTCATTCTCAAAGCTCAGCCTGAAAATATCTTGAAAGTCGAAAGTACTGAACAAATACAACTGACCACAACTGTAAATAATCCAAAACTTCTGAACAAAAACACTTTTTAACATGGATGGAACCAACACCTCACGTTTATCGAAGACCAAAGGGCAACCAAAGTATGGCCCAATGGAATTTTCAAGAGGAACAGAGCACCATATACAAACCTCAGAAAGGCTGGATGTCGCCTCAGCTGGAGATGAACTAAGTTATAGGTCTAATATGAAAAATCTTGGTTTAGACCATAGTCAGTTACCTGACCTCATCTTCAAGTGTCCACTGAGGATCGAAGTCCATCCGTTGCATAGTCAAATATCTTCTAATGAAGAGGACAACAATGTGGCACCGTCAAAAACTCTGGACGTTCCTTTGAAAGAGCTAGTGAGCGGTCCAACTAAAGGAGATGTTTGTGATTCAGACTGCAAGATAAATCCTGTGTCCTCTGTGCAGACCAGAGCAGTCCTCGGACCAGCGTCTGACGCTAAAAAGACGGATTCCCCCAGAGCTCCAAAGAAACCCAAAGGCATCACTGAAGGAACACCATCCACACTTTTTCTGAGAAAAACATTTCGTGCCTGGGATCCCTCTGCTGACAACAAGCCATTAAAGTCCCCACAAACCACTCCTGTGGAAGGCTTTGCTGCGTGTCAGCCGCTGTCAAAGGGTTCCATCAAGAAGACTGCCAAAGAACGACAGCCGGTGGACACAGGGGTGAAAACCGCCGTGCCTCAGAGGACTGACCCCGTGCGCATTCGCCTTCAAGAGGGGAGACACGAGGAGAAGCAGGAACTAAATCTGCAACTCAAGAAGCTTGTTGATATAGTAGTGTCTCAAGCTGCCAAAAAGTTAAACAGCCAATATCCATTAAATTTAGACGAAATCAAAAACCGGCTGTTCAGGGAACTCGAGAATGAGGTCGACGACACGCAGATCGAAAAACTCATGTGCCAAAACAGCATTAAAATACTCACCAGGGCTGTTTGCGAAAACATCTGCGAAAACCTCAAGATCTCGCCATCAAAGAAGATGGCTGCTTATTTAGAGAAGGATGTGAAGGATGCCACAGTCAACTCTGGGAAAAAAGAAGGGCTCGTAAAAACTAAAAAAAGCGAACCCATCAAAGTGTTCTCCTCCTCCAGTCAGAAACTCCCCCGGCCAGAGGAGGCCGCCACTGGATCCAAGAGAATCCAAACAAGTCAAGCATCAAAAACCAAAAGGGACGCACGAATGCCACAACTCCCATCTAATTCTGAGAAGCAACGTGGCTCCGTTGCGCAGATTCTAAAGAGTTTTGAAGGAAAATCTTCTTCAGCCAAATGCTTCAGACCAGTGGCAAAGTCACCACATGTCTCCGAGGTCCCTGCTGTTGGGCCTAAAAAAGGCCAACCAGTGGCTGCTAAAGGGTCAGGGAACAAACAGGAAAAGGATTCAAGAGACAGGGAGGAGACCAAAAAAGCTGTGAAGACTCTCGGTGAGACCCTGATCAAGCAGTGCATGCAGAAATTAGCATTGACTCACCCTCACCAGAAGTTAGATGAGGCCAGCGAGTGGCTTTTTAATAGAGTGTGGGCCAAAGTTAAGGATGAAGAGTTTAATGTCCACCCGAAGAACATCGTCGCACTTGACAGGGTTATATTCAAGGACATTCAGAATATATGGTCCTCTATGAGCCACGCAATAAGGTCCACTGTCCTAGATGACCCACAAGTCGCCCAGGTTATTGTGTCCGCATCCAAGAAGCACCTGAGGAGGTTGTCGAGGAACCCTCACCCATCGAAGGCCACCTAAAAGACACGAGGAAAAAGGAAAGCAAGCGAACAAAGAAAGAAAAAAAACAAGAATAAATGCATATTTGAAAAGGCATTCCTCTGTCTGTGCTGTTGTTGCTTTTAACAGCCTGATGGAAAGGCTCAGACTGAGATGCAGCAGCGTCACCTGGTGGCAGCTGAGCAACGTGAGCGTTTTCAATGACAAAACACAATACAGAAGGAACTAAGGCTCGTCATTCATTTAATGTTTAAAAGGTTTTACGGACATGAATATAGTCAGATGTAAACTAAATGATGGACTGTATTCAATCCATTCATTACTGTTTGTTCCCGTTTGTTTGAGTCACCACTCCACAGCTCAGATGTTTATACCTTGGTACCTGATTAATTCTTATCAGATGGCTTAAATAAAATGTCAATCTGAAGGCAGACTACTGTAAAAAAAAAAAACGCTTCAGTTTGTAGATTAAAGGAAAAAAATCTCCTCTCATCAATGTAGGAAACACCATTGTGTTCATTGTTGAGGTGTCTGACCCCACTGAGACTGAGGAGAAAGTCCCCCTGAGGCTTTCACCTTCTCCTCTTCTTCGTTTTTTCTTTTTCTCATTAGAGTATCTGTCATCAGTTGGGTCAAGAGATCAAAAGCAACATTGATTTTCCTGCACTTTAGAAAAAAAGTCAAACTTGGCATTTTTACGCAAACTTTTGATGGTTCAAACTTTCTTGTTCTTCCTTTAATGCGGCAGAGGTCTGCATTTTAGCTGCCACCAGGTGGCCCTCTCAGACCTTTGTCTCAGCATCTCACCTTTGTTCTCATGTTTTAATTCACTTTGCCTTTTCTGGAAGATACCTTCACAAATACTATGTACTTTAAATCCATAAAAGTAGAAATGGACAAGAACCTATAGATGTGTAACTAATATTTTCGTCAATGGCGTTTCTCCTTGCTTGCACCAACTTGTCAGCATGTTCTCTTTCAAAGACACACCCATTGTTAGATTTTGTTAGAGAATTTGGGCCAAAAACTAAAGACTAAAGATTTGTCCCAAAAAGCCAACCCATCAGTCCTCCACTACTGTTTGTTTTGACATGCCCCTGTGAGAGCAATTGGTACATGTCACCATGACTTCATGTCTCTGTGACACTAAAAGGTAAAATCAAACACACAAACTATTGAACGCCATTCAGCCGGCAGCAACGCA